TTTCTGGAGAAAAAATGAACCTTCAAACATATATATAATAAAATGGCATTATCCTGAAAGAGGGATAATGTCACTGGTTTGTTATCAACAACAAAAAAGGAGCTGATCCAAAGATTTTTTTTTGTGCTCCAAAACAGTCTCATTTTTTTCTGATATTAATATTTATGTTTACTGAAGCAGGATAAATTTGCCTTTTCTTTTAGTCCACCTTTTAAATGTTGATTTGACTGATCCATACAGAACTTTTAGGTTATCCATGTGCCAACGCATCTATTATAAGGAAATAAAAGCACAGGCTGTGACTTATCAGTGGGAGCTGTAGCCTGCTCTTCGAAAACAAGATGACTGGCTTCAGCCAGCTCCTGAATGACTGGGGCTTATTCATACTAATTTTGGCAAAATGCTTTCAATGAAATCTGGGACCATACTTGCAGAGCCTGCAATTCCACTGACTGCTGCTCTCCAAGTCTCCATCAGGAGCTGAGTGTGCTGGGCATGGAGGTACCACAATGAGCTCATGCCCACTCATTATGGCTTTGCAGGTAGAACTGAAATTTATTTCTGAATCCAACATTACCTGCAACTCAAGTCAAAGCATTTGATAAAGATCTGATTCTCCGGTGTCCAAACACACACACACCTAATGTGAGCTTCTAAGCAACACAGTACTGACACACTGGCTCTTACCAGAGCCTCTTAAATACACATTTCTCCTCACTCAATTTGTGCAGCACAATGAAATCCTGCTCTTGAATGGGACATCATATTTACAGTGTATTAAGAATATTCTTAGAGAAGTTTCTACACACCAAAGGCACCAGTGAAAGAAAATATAAAGGAAATAGGAACATGGGTAATAATGAGAGAGAGAACATGGGTGATAATAATCGAGCTTTGAAGGGCAATAGCTATCTCTATCTTTTCTACTGCAGTCTTACTAATTATCGTACAGATTTAGAGACCAAAGTTCACTGCTTAACCTTCTAATCATATGAAAACCACTAAAATAATCCATAAAAGAGGAAGGTATTGATGATGAATCGTGTATGAAAATTCTTTCCTCTGTTTGTAAGGTTTCTTTGCTACATACTAAAACCTGTTGCCGTTTCACTCACCTTCTGTACAGAAAGCTCATTTCATCTGTTTTTATAGATACATTTCTCAAATAAGTTCTTTCCCAAGTTCAGCTGTCTCTGGTTGTAACAGCAACATTCTAGCAGCAATGATACTCTACAGATATATCACAGCATTTGGGCAATGGGAGGAGATAATCTTGTATTCAGTCTTATGGAGCAGGGGTTCTAAAAATGGGAAAATTAAAGCTTAAAGCTTATGCCTTCTTTGCATAGGGCAGTTGGCTTCAGGGAAACTTGAAGTCATGGCCAGGCTGCAATAGCTTTTACTTGCATAACATCAGGTCAGTGGAGTGGCTTGAGACAATATTTACAACAGAATTTAACCCAATTTTAACTTAATTATGTGTAAAGTCATGAAGAGCAAAAAAAATCTTGAGCTGTGTCTGTAAAAAACTTATCTGCTGACAGTACTGGAGAAGTGCAAAGCTTGATTTTCAGTCTTATTTTTTGTTCATATGAATCCAGAAGACTCTTAAAACAAAGAAGATCCTTATAAACAAAACCTACTGGATACTGAAGTCTCTCAGAGTTTATTAAATATACAGAATTTCTAAAAGTTAAATAGCAGAATAGAATCAACATTTTGGTAAGAAAAATATAGACCTTTTTAGAATGAAACTATTTCAGTCCTTCCATAGCCAACAGTAATAATCCTGAGAGCATCAGATCACATAACCTTTTCACAGCAAAGGTCTGTACTGTCTGAGGGTTGTCTGAGGTTGGGATGCTTCCAAAGGCAAAGTGTTTACTCAGAGGCAGATTTGATCACAGCTCGTGTTTTTCCAAAAGGCAGCTAGCTTGCTTAAGCCCTTAAAAAAATCCTTTCCCTAGAGCTCATCCACTGGGCTGTTTGGGCTAAGTATTTAAAGCAGTAGCAAAGTGCCAAGTCAAAAGCAAAGAATTTGTTTCTGAGAGAAGCAAGGAAAAGACAAAGAGCAAAAGTTAGTACTGCAGATTATTGCAAGCTTCAGAGAATACAAAACAATTGTTTTAGAAACAGCTAAAAATACCTTCTTGTAAGACTGCTTGCTCTTCTGCCAAAGGCATACAATACACGAAAAACATTTGCAGAATCAAAATATTTATATTACAAAGTAGCAACTTTTACTTTAGAAACTTATAGCTGATTAAGTTGGAACTTCATGTTCTGTAATACTGACAAAAGAATATCAACCACAGTCATAAGTAAACATTGGCTTTGTTACAAGCTTATTGTTAAAACAGAAAAAAAAAAAAAAATCCAGCATTTTTTTTTCTCTAGATCACGATAGTTACCTTGGTGTAACTATCAATACAGTTATAAGATAAAATACAATTTTACTTTCTAACCTTCTCTTTGCTATGTGACATGAGTTGTACTAGAATGCACCCTGAAAAAAATAACGAAGGGCTGTACAAAAAAAATGAAGTCGCCAGGCTTCTCAGGAAGCTTCAAAAATGATTGTATTATATACTGAAAAATCTTGTCTCAACTTAAAATTCAATATAACTTTTCACTTGTAATCCAGGGGAACACAGAAAGTTAAAGGTTTATAGAGATCAAACTTCAGAGAAACTTTAATGGAAAGTGTCAAGTTCCTTTGTTAGTTAGAAGCATCAGAAAATCTTACCTTTTTATGGGGAAAAAACAAAGACAAGTGATTTAAATTATGATCAGAGTGAAAATTCACTTTTGAAAACCCAAGTTTTCTTGCCATATTTACCAAATGTCAAAATGGTATTTACAGCAATATCAACAGTGCAGCTGTGAGGCTGCCAATATTGCCTCCAACTGTGTAAACCAAGTTTTTCCTTCTTTTTTGAAGTCTTTTCTTCACTTTTCCTCTTCCAAAGACACAAAACTTATCAAGACTTTAACATGTTGTGGTATTTGTATCACTGGAGAACTTGTTCAGCAGTAATTAATTGCCAGCTCCTGCATTTATTTTAAATTGCTCTCTTTTGTTTTAACCAAAGAAAGAAAACCAAAAAATGATACAAGTGGGTGCCAGCCAAACTTGTGTGCCAAAAATAAACCTGCCTCTAAGGCCCAAAACTGAGATTATTGTTGGCTTTCAGAAAAGACTAATTATTAACAAAACAGTTTGCAGAGTTTGCTAAACTACAGTAAGCAATTCCAGTAAGAGAACAGTACAGCAGCAGAAGTGGAAAAAGAGCAAAGTGCTGAAAGCATTTATATTGTCTGTGTTACTTGATTCATTAGTTGAATGCCTTCTTCCTTTCCATGCTGATGAAAAGGCAGAACAGAACAAGACAAACTTTTGGTGCTACAAACTGCTTCTATCGACAGGTGAGGTTTGACTCTGGAGATGTGCTTCCCTTCCCTAGAAGGGAAAGTGAGGTACAGTGAGTATTAAGGAGTAAGAAATCAAATAATGTGACTCAATCTTTGGTTCGTCTCCAATAGTAACTGCCTCCATCATTCTCTTCATGTTGGCATCATCAAAAAATATCTGTGCTTGCCATCCTCCTCTCTGATATGTCCTTCTTACCCATCCACCCAGCTTGTCCCGCAAGTCACTACCTAAATATATATGTATATGTATCTATATGTATCTATATATATATTTATATATATTTTTTTAATATACATATAAAGGGAGAACTAGCACATAATTTCTGAATAAATTATGTCTCAACCATCGGCCTGCCTGTGTACTTTAAATCCAGCAGTGCGGGACTTGTGTGTCATTCTTTGCAACCATGAACACACCAGAATACTGCCTGCCCTCGGCTGACCTTGCAGCATGGTATATAATACATTACAAACATCATCTGACTTCTCAGGTTTTGTCACAGTATAGGAGAAATGGATAGAAGAGCCAGTGTCTATGAAATTGCATGGAAATCATCACAGATAGAAACACGACAGGGGCAATTCATGTTCCAACTCAGGTCTGCTCAGAAACTGGCTTAATCTCAAGATGGAATACATCGAAGAGCAAACACAAGAAGACATCCTGCAGTTTCTGCTGCTACTGCTGCCATTAGCTATTTCAGTGCACTTTCTTGTAAGTCTTCAAAAAGTCTTGGTTCTTTAGTGCCACAGATTTAAAATGTCTACTATGTACTGTCATGCAATTGAGCCTGTAAGCTGGTAACTTTGTCTTGGTACATTTGGAGCTTTAAAGAAGCATAAAAGACAGTAATATAGCACAAAGTGAACCCTAAAACAAGTACTGTTACACTTGAAATTCAGAACATGTTTAGTGTGAATGGATGTTATTAGAAGTTGTAAACATTTCTACTGAAGTGAGCCAATAGCATCAGCATTAAGCACTAGAGCAAAATGTTTTATCACCTACGAACAGCAAGTTTCCATGTTCATGCTGTTTACTAACGCCTTCAAAGAGCTGGTTATGTTCTTGTAACATGTGAAACACCACAAAATCATGGCCTCCTACCGTGGTGAAACACTAGACCATGTCACACTACAGTTCCCACACAGCTCTTCACAATAGATAAGAACTACAACCAAAAGCAATGAAACTGAAAAAAATTTCTCTCTTTTAAGCCTCCTGGGAATTCACATGAATTTCCCAGAAACCCTAAAATAATCCTAATCTACTCTTGTAAAATCAAGACACCTATTGGCAAAGATGGAGTTAGAGTAGCACACATTGTAACTACCAACTGGCTAGTGCATGGAACTGGTAGAGGTGATGCATGCGTTCCTGTAATTACATTTCACAGTTCTTTTGTGCCTTGTTTTCCAGTAAAAAAGCCAGGCAGATATTGCTTCTATCCCACTTCTTCTATTACTACTTTAAAAGATCCTGCCTTTCAAACTGCTGGTCACATATGCACACAAACACCACTTGACCTAGCAGAGCAGACTGTGTAGTAAAGAAAAAGAGATACACATTTTCAAAACAGGGTTTTATTGAAACTTATCAAAAATGTCTGAAATGTAATGCAGGGAAGACACTTCAGATGTTAGTTCTTTTCTTTTTTGCTTTGGGTTTTTCTGACAGCTGAGATAATTCACTTTCTTCAACTTCATCACAATGCTTTCTTTTCTTTTTCTTTGACTTTTTGTGGTCACTTTGGTAACCACTGGAGTCACTGGTAGGCAATACAAGTTCCTGTTCTCCTTGCTTTTCCTTGTCCTTTTTCTTTTTCTTCTTCTTCTTTTTATCATCACATAATCCATTCACAGCATCAACATTTGGCTCTTCTTCATTTTCCCTCCCAAGGTTACCTGTCTCATTTAAAGGTTCTTCTGTGACATTATCTTCCCCACAGTTATTCAGGCCATTTTCCTGCTGGTTAAACTTTTGAATTTCATCCCCATTTGTACTTTCAGTGACTGCATCAGATTTTCTGGGCCGCATGCTGTAGAGAAATATACAACATAAACTGGATTAGAGACACGTTAAGGCATCTCAGAGAGTGATATGTCAAAATTTGCTAAAACATGTATTTACATCAAGCAAATAAAAGATAAATATTTGCTAAAAACAACAACAAATGGAGAACATGATACTCTGTGTTACAGAGAATCAAAGTTTAATACTCTCAGGTAATTTCTATTACTAGCTTCCTTCTTACCATAATAAATATTCTCTTTCAAATCTTAGCCCATACAGACCATTTGGTAGTTCCTCTTTTCTAGTGCTTATTCATCCCCTAATTCATAATTACACATTATGTAGTAAAGATTTTTTGGTTTTTTTTTTTTAAGTCATTCACAAAAACACACACCTACGGCCTATTCAGTCATATATGAGGCACACTGATGATTTTACCAAGCAATTACCCTACTCTAATAAAAACAAAGGTGATGTCCGAAAAGCTTAAAAAAAACAAAACCAAAAAAAACCCCAAAAAAGCTCCACAAAAACCCACCAGATTCCCTACCGCAACAGGTACCTTGCAACCAAGAGCACTGGAAAAAATGCCTAAGACAATATGGAAAGAATACAGTTAAAAACCTTGGAGGTTTTTATATCCCCAGAGGCAACTGCTAACTTTCACTTTAAATCCACTGAAACGATCCAGAGCATCCTTCCAGATCAAAAGAAGAAAGAAACAAAAAATGCTTTGAATTTGCTAGGAGTCATATTATACATATAATCAAAACCAAAACCACACTGAAAGAAAAACATTGCTCAGTAAATGACTGTTTTAAAAGAAAAATGTGAATGAACCCTTCTAAGACAAGATTTCTCACACGGTGCCCTATAAATTTACAGAGGCCTAAGGAGGAAGTTGACACATTTTCTCATCTTTGAAATTCTCGTGTTTCAGCAAGTATTGAAGTCATGTATTTGTCATTATACAATACATATGTTTGTGTGCAACTGTCAATGTAAACTCTGTGTTCAGGACCCCTGGACTGTTTGCACTTGAAAAGCCTGTGCACAAAGCTACTCTTGGACACCTGGATGCGCTATTTTGAGCATGTATTATATATGCAATCAACAATTAATAGGTCAACACAACAGATTTTTAAAGCTCAAGAAACACCTAGTTTTATTTTTTTCAGAGAAAACTTCCACGATGGTCTTAAACAGCAGAAAGTTTAGTTCAAGACTACATCTATATATAAATATATGTATGTATGTATATATATGTCTATGTGTACATATATACATGCATGTATATAGTTATATACAGTTATATAGGGATTTGCGTAAAAATAAGAAAGCTGAAGGATTAAGATGTAAATAAAATCACTTAGCTTGTAAAAAACGTATTAAATCAGTTAGAAATATTCTCTATTAAGGGACTGTACCTGCTTTTAGTGAGTCCTCCTCGAATGAAGAACACCCCAGCTGTATCAGAATCCAAGTGCAATACTTGAAATTTCAGTTCATCCCCTATTTTTAACCCCAGCTCTTGCCACTGCACAATGGACATTTGTTCAGGCTTAGGGATAGATGCATTGAAGCATCCATGTATCAGACAGCCAATGTGACTAGGGGCCACTTTATTAATTACGCCCTAAAAAAGAAAAAGAATGTCATGCAAGTCTATAGCAAAAATCAGCCCTTTCAATGCAAACCCTTTAAATATTTAGTTTCCCATATGGAAAATTTTCAGTAAGAATTTATTTACAAGTTATGAAATCAGTTAATCTAGCAATAAGTTAACACTCCTTCACTAAATTCAAAGTTAGTCCTGTAAACTCTTCGTACAATTCCTCTGAAAATAGAACTGAACTGCAGAAGAATAAGTCAAAACATGGGATTTAGCTACAGTGAATACCTGAATAGAGTAGATAACTCTTTCCTTACACTTCAGTGATTGACTTTGCTTTGAAGCCATTTTAAGTCAGATTTACTTGCCTAAAATGCTCTTCAAGCTGGCACAGCAGTACTTAGCAGCTGAAGATACGGAAAACATATAAAAAGCTTCTAAATACTCTATTCAGTGGGTTTCTGACACATCTGTATACGAAACCATATCCACCTTTGTTTTACCCATAGAATTAATGACGGACACTGAAAATTTTTCAGCTCTCTTCTGAGGAAGATGGCACATTCATGCTGAAACACAAATATAAAGACACCACCTGTGCTGCAAAAGGTATGGCACAACAATGAATGCAAGCCAGCTCTCAACATACTTCACCCACAAGTGCTGAGCAAGGGTTTTGACAAGCTTAGAGCTGTTCTGTGAGCCATACGCCTCCTTTACTGAAAGGCAGGCTTCAACTCGATGTACTGCTCTTGAGCTTGGAGGAACCGAACTCGAGAGCATCCTAAACATTCCAGTCACTATAACAATTGCACCTGGTTGAGAACGATCTGCTCTTCAGAAAGGAGCGCCACTGCGATTTATGCAGTTAAGATACACTATTAAATATGCAATCCTTATACAGTGCTTTAGCAACGTAAAATTATACATAAATTCAACAAACGTAGAGACAGACAAAACAGACAAATTACAGTAAAAAGTTCTATAACGAACTACTAAAAAATTGTTATGAGCTGCCCATAAATGAGTAGTCGAACATAAACTATGTCTTCATCTAAGCCCCAGACTACCTGATGCTGGAGAGATACCAAACTTTAATTTAAAAAAAGCCCATCCCGTGAGACACCGAGGCGTTCGCATACCACCAGCTTCTTCCCTTTCTTGGGGCTGAAGATGATGAAGTCCGCCTCGACGTCCAGGTGGATGAACCCTTGGTCGTCGTAGATGTCGCCGAGCTCCCCCACCACTTTGATGTTGTCGTAAGCCACGGGCACACCCTGCAGGCTGGAAGGACAAGGAGGAGGGGGCACCGTTAGCTGTCAGGCCGAGCCGCCCCCCCGTCCCGCGCCGTCCCCGCGGCCGCACCTCTCGGAGTAGCGCAGGAGCTCCGCGTCCAGCTGCGCGCGGATGCCGGAGCGCTTGCGGCCCAGGAAGCGCGGGGGCAGCGCCACGTGCCGCCGGTGCGGCGCCGCCACCAGGCACGAGTGGCGCCGCGCGGCGGGCGGCAGCGCCGGGGCGGCGGGCGGCTCCCGCGGCACGGCCATGCACGGACGGGCCCGACGGCGCGCTCGGATGGCGTCAGGCACCTTCGCTCCGCCGGGGCCAGCCCGGCCGCGGCAGTGACGGAGTTCCGGGGCGGTGTGCTCGCGTTCGGAGGGACGGGAGGGGAGCAGCGTCATTTTTTAACTCTTTCCAGCCTATTTTACATCTCGGAATCACGGGCTTGTTCTGAGCTGGAAGGAACATCGAGTCCGGCTCTTACGGGAAGGGCGCGCAGGCGGACGGAACCCGCGGCGCTCGGAGCCCAGCGGGAACCCCCGGCAAAAGACAGTGACCAATTACCTTAGTGGCGTTCTTCACATACGGCAGTTTTAAGAATACAGAATTTGTCATATGTTGCTAGACCCCAGATCCAGGTCTTCCTCCTGAGGAGAACAAAGTAAAATACAAGTCCTCAAAAGGGTTGCTGGTGCACTCTACACTGCAATTACTTACAAAGTGAACTGCAGTACTAGAACCTTGTCCAGAAACCTTGTAGAAACCTTGTCAAGCTGAGAATGATGGAATTCGTGGCTGGTTAGTGAAGACTTTGCCCAGAAAAGTAATAAGTAATTTAGACTTTATATCCACACAGAGTGGCACAGTATGTTATACATACACACACACACACACAGTGTTATAGAATGAACTGATTCAACTGAACTCATGCAAAACGTTGAAAAGGTGTTCTCTTATTGATTTAAATCTAATTTATATCAACTTAACTTGTTATAGTAAATACACACTTTCAAACTGATTGAATCCACATGAGGAGTTACCAAAAAAAAAAAATAAAGTATGTGTCGGTTTCATTAAAGGTGTTAAGATTCTTTTTAATCTGAGCCTGTGGAGGGCTCAGAAACACTGATGTTTTGTGAAAACAAGCCTTACGTCAGATACCAGAAATCCTTGAACTCCCTGTAAAACATTTAGTGATGCAAATGCCTTTGAAACTACTCAAATACTACATCACCACAAAGTTTTCTTTGACTGAACATACTGTGAAGACAGGACATTGTTAGCTTTCACAAGTAAAATAAATGGTATAATTTGCAGTACTTTACTGCAAGTAAAGTTGGATTACTGTGAAAGACCTGACATAAAAATGGCTTTCAGGTGTCATACCAAACTCCAAAATTGAAAGAGAAAATGTCTTGAGCTACTTTAATCTGTATTCCTATGTGGGTTTAGTCCTCCAAGGTATTTAATGTCTGTTGAAATTAATTTCATGTTATATGGTCTCAGCTTTCTGGAAAAAATATTGTATTTTTTATTTTAACTATTTGGATCATATTTAAACCTTGCAATGTGCTTTCAATCTTGGTTAAAGACCTTAAACAATAACTGCATGCACTTCTATTCCTAAAAGGAATATATTTTTTATAACTCTTATTTATGACTGGACTTAGTTTGCAGTGAGAACATATAATACACTAAGGGCTCTACTCAATTTTATCCAGGATAATAAAAACCTACCTTTGCTCTTAAAATAAAAACTAATAATAAGATGGAAAAGCAACATGTACAAAAATGTGGACCTTTGTCTTTCACCCTGTAGTCAGGTTGGCCAAGATGGTGTCAGAAGAGCTCTGTCTCTCAGGGCCTGCAGCTATCCAAGGTTGTCCCCATGGACTTCTGTCACCAGAAAATTCCCTGTGAGATTGAGTCTGTACTTTCTAATTGAATCTCCATTTATCCCTTCTACCGTGCCTGGTTTTCTTTGCACAGTGCTCTTGGGACTTCCAGATCTCCTTTCAGGCTAAAGCAATCAGGAGAATGAACTTTAAATCCTAGTGGTCATTAAGTCTGTGTGGTAGGCCAGAGATAATTCAAAATAACCTGTTGGAAATCCTTTAACTGTAAATACCTGGCCTCAGCACCAGCTGTTTTTCTGTGCAAGTCCATACCTGTCAAGTCCCACTGCTTGCTGATGCAGCATGGTCTGTCTGGACCAAAAGCAGTGTTGTCTTGCAGTCGTGTAGAGATTTCAGACCCATGGTAATCTCTCTGTAAAAGATACTCGGATGAAAAAAGGAATCTCAATCCAACTGAACTGATCTGTGGCTGGAGGAGGTGCCACATCCCAACTCCTCCAGCCACAGATCAGTTCTGAAAACCATCTGGACCTTAGGACTTAAATCCTAATATCCCCACATTCATTTTTTGGCTTCTTTCTCTTTCCTGGTTGTATAACTTTCCAGTTCTTGATGTTAGCTTTCAGCTTAAAGAGTCTGTCTCAGCTGACCTTTCAGCAGCACTGCAGTGAGCCTGTGTCCAAAAAGGCTGCTAAAATCAATGTCTAAACGAGCACAGCTGTTGGTATGTTTGCCAAGTCCCACAGTGGCTGATAAGACTGTGCTGAGCCGGTTTTTCTCAAGAGGTCAGGTTGCAAGTAACAATGGGGACCAAACCCAAAAGCTGTCTTTGTAGTCACTGCTCTTCTTTTTCTTGCTGTTTCATCTGGGTTTGTCTTGTTTTCTCTGTGAAAGGAGATCTCCAAAAAGGAGATTCCTGGACAACCACAAATTCAGCACCTCTCAGCTGGTCTTTTCTATCCATACAGTCACGGCCATCTTGTATCCAGGTTTCTGAATTGACAGTGTATGTTGGGTAGAAAGTTCATCCAATTGCTTATTGATGCTCTATTGTGGCAGGTGCAACTCATTCATTCAGAGAGTGGCCCTCATCCAGCCTTAAAATCCTGGAAGTCTTGCAGAGTGGAGGAATGCTGATGGCAGTGTGCTGGAGTAGGAAATACACTCCCCCTTAGGACCGTGTGCCTGAAATAATTTGTGCATTTTGAAATTTATTCTGTCGCAGGTTCCTTATCCCACAACTTGCACTCCATAAGAAGGATAAATTAAGTAATGCCTCAGCTGCATAGGTTAGATATGGTACAAAAAAATGTTCTCTGGATTTTTTTTTTTAATGTTTTAGCTGGCTTCTCCTTTTTAATTTTTAACCTTACAGTACTTTTAATGACAATTTTTGCTGTCCTACTTAGAAAGAAGAATGACTACTCAATGAGTACTCAAACTCTCAGTTTTGTTTCTGAAGTTATCTGGTAATAGGTTTGCTTTAATATCTTTGACCCTCATGACAAATAGAGACTAATGCTAGCATGTTTGGTCATTGAGAACTAAACATCTAAATGCCATTGAGGATTGTCGGCTTGTGGTCCTATATACGGAATTCTCTTAGGAATTCTGTTTTGAGGAAGTTATTTTTAAGAAGGTGACCATTCAATTACGTATAAAATCTATCAGTGCAAAGGGTGAGCTGAAGTTAACAACAGTTACAGTAGTACAGGCTCATTTGACTGCAAATGTGAGAGGAATTAAGTTTTTACTCTCAGGCACACATTAATTTGAGCATATACAGGATGATAAGATGAAACTGTCAATGGCCAAAGAAGGTAGATACCCCTGACAGTGTATCAGGACTCTCTTTATTTGTACTAAAATAAAATGTACCAAATGCTGAAAGTCCACCAGATGGCACACAAAAGCCTTGGTACGGATAAGTGCCGTCATCCAAGAGAACAAGAGGAACTGCATGCCTGGCTGAAAATTTAATCTGTGTTACATTATGCAGACTCTGCTTTGTTTTGTCAGCAATTAGTAGGTCAATCCGTAATAGCTAGGAAATGACTTAGAAAAACATTAAGGGAAAGAAATGCGATAAGACAGCAATTATGTTAATTTCTTTCAGCTAATAATTTGTCTTGATTTGTAGTGACATTCATGATGTAAGGACAGGGAGTGGTTGGAATGAGTCCAGACGAGGGTCACGAAGATGATCAGAGGGCTGGAGCACCTCTGTGAAGACAGACTGAGAGAGTTGGGGTTGTTCAGGCTGTAGAAGAGGACTCCAGGGAGACCTTATAGCACCTTCCAGTACCTAAAGGGGACCTACAAGAGAGCTGAAGAGGGACTTTTTACCAGGGCATGGAGTGATGGGGCAAAGGAGGAATGGCTTCAAAATAAAAAAGGGTGAGATTAGATTAGATATGAGGAAGAAGTTCTTCCTTGGTAGGGTGATGAGGCACTGAAACATGGTGCCCACAAAAGTTATGAATGTTCCTTCCCTGGAAGTGATCAAGGCCAGATTGGATTGGACTCTGAGCCAATGGAAGGAATCTCTCCCCACAGCAAGGGGAGTTGGCGCTAGGCAATGTTTCAGGTTTCTTCCATCCAAACAATTCTGTGATTCTGTTCTTGGGATGGACATCTTCAAACAGTTGGGGGTTGACTAGATTTGTCTCTGGCCCTTGATTCTCTAAGTGGGTTATTGCCTGCTGGGAAATGGCTGATATGGCTGGCAATCATTCTTGTGGAGATAAAATATCTTGTCTATAAATATATTACTGAAAAATATAATATAATATAATATAATATAATATAATATAATATAATATAATATTTATATTATATTAATTATATTACATTATTATAATTGTTATATTAATCAAATTATATAAATATAACATATATATAATATATATATTATATTTACTGAAATAAATATATTACTGGAAGACCTGTGTTCAAGTAGCTCCCTGGCCTTATATCTGTCAAAATAAGGAACCTGATGTAGGATGCCTGGTGCTGACTGTGGTGCCCCTCTCCATCTCCACTATGAAGACATAGTTTCAGTAGCAGAGACATTGTGACCTGTGGAGCTCTGGCTGTTTGTTGGTACAATGCTGAAACTCTCCTGTGTGCTTCCAGCCAGTGAGTGAAGTGTGTTCAGATAGTGGATTAAATAATATGATAACGTGACCTTTCTCATAGAAACAAGAGGTGATGTTGCCACAGAAACAAGGGAGGAAAGCAGCCTGTGCCACTGTAAGCACTGTAAGGCTTTTCTGCAGCACTGCGAGTGCTTCTGATGAATGATGCTAACAAATGAGATGGATGCACAGGTTGTAAATGGGGTAAATGAGGTGTCTCTTGACAATCTGTCTCTACTATTTTGCAGTTTATATTCTGAGAAACTTCCAGCTACCTTTTACTCTGGTGTTTTTAAAA